TTAAAATAAACAGTTTGCTACCTGCTTTCTTGTGCCTTTTAGTACCCAAGATGAATGAGGCATGCATATAAGATTGCTTACATGTATTTGACACAAAGTAAGGACAGCAGTATGATTAGGAACACCCTTGTCAAATACTGGCATTTATTGCTGAATTCTGGGAGTTTCTAAATTATTTTGTCTGTTAGAAACTTGTGCACTGGGAATGATGGGCAGGGAGATTCGGAAATTCTACCTAAATGTTGAATTACTCCTTAGAGACAAGTGGAGAGTACAAGGAGTGCTTCAGAGATCTTGACTGGCTTACCATCTTTTCTTCATAAGCAGGTTGGGCACAGGTTTGAGGATATTTAGCAGCCCTCTTCAAGAAACAGATGCCAGTTGCTAGGAAGCACTAGGCTAGGGTGAGTCTAGAGTATATTTGACTCAGTAAGTGCACTTATCAATATACTTACCTGATACTTAGCTCGGGTCTCCAGTATGAGGGTTTAGGCACTTGTCATGGGGCCAGGAGATCCAGCCTGTTCCACAGCCTTTAAACACCAGTTCTGCTGCCTATACCCATGTAGGGCCATGGTGGTAAGGCTGAGTATTTACTTCTAGATCCTTGAAGAACTTTTTGCACAAGAGTCATACTTACCTTTCCCTTGGTGTAGCAAGCACAAGAATTTTCATATTTTTTTCATATTTGAATTACATTTTCTGAAAACTTTCTTTTTTTTCTGTCTGTGATTACAAAATTGTACTGTTTCTTCTGCATTACTGATTTACTGCACTGGAATCCTGAAATCATGCAATTCAGTTGGAAGATTAATGAGGTGTGATTTCTTTTTCCAGAGTAAATTCTAAAAACTGGAGGCCACAGGAGACATGCACAATTTGTTATTACAGTTTATATTTTGCTTTGGGTAACTATACTTCATTCCACTGGGAATGCAGTAGGTGTAAAAAGTCATTTGCCCTGTTACATAGGGACGTATACTGTTTATTACTAATATTTTCTTTTCTTACTTTGTAATGCCTACCAAAGCATCTAAATTTGTTGTCCATATTTATTTAAATAACTTTTGCTCATAATAACATTTTAGAAGCTTGAAAGTGACCCCACTACAGCATCAGTTCTTCAAAGAGAGATGCACATGCCAGATTTTATGTGCTGTGAGTAATCCCATTGGCTTCAAGGGAAATGCCCAATGCTTGAAGTTTTAAGTCTTTTTAGGAGCAGGTCTTACTTTTTATGCTTTTGAATGCTAAGAGATTGCCCTTGTTGTCTTTATTTTTAAGGGGCTAGTGAATGTGTTAGGTGCAATTCACTCACTTTCCCCGGAAGACCTGTAAAAACTTGCATGGACAATGGTGAAGCCATAGGTATGTATCACTCTCCATTGTCCATGCAAGTTTTTTTCAGGGTGAAATAAGAGTATTAGTTGAAACTTTCTATATTTATGAATATAGAACTTTCTATATTTATGAAAGTTGAAAACAAATACATTTTTTAATATTACTCAAGCACAAGTCCTGTGAGGAGAGGCTGAGGGAGCTGGGGCTGTTCAACCTGGAGAAGAGGAGGCTCAGGGGAGACCTCATCACTCTCTACAACTACCTGAGAGGAGGTTGTAGCCAGGTGGGGGTTGGTCTCTTTTCCCAGGCAACCATCAGCAAGACAAGAGAGCATGGTCTCAAGCTGTGCCAGGGGAGGTTTAGGTTAGATATTAGAAAGAATTTCTTTACAGAGAGGATGGTCAGACACTGGAATGGGCTGCCCAGGGAAGTGGTGGATTCTCCGTCCCTGGAGATTTTTAAACAGAGACTGGATGTGGCACTTAGTGCCATGGTCTAGTAACCACAGCGGTAGTGGATCAAGGGTTGGACTTGATGATCTCGGAGGTCCCTTCCAACCCAACTGATTCTATGATTCTATGATCCGGCATCAGAGCTATGATTTTAACAGTCTTACAGCCTTTTTTTTCATACTACTTACATATCAGGAGAACACTGTTAAAAAAAAAATTGATCTGCTGTACCTTCTTGAAACTGTATTAGAAAGGGCCCTCACTACTAAGTGAGTTATCCATGTGAGGAAAACTTGGTACTCTGCTGTCCTCATCAGATCTGCATATTGAGATCCAGCTGTATGTTTTTGCCAACTTTCATAACAAACAAGATTAGTTATTGACATACTGTTTTTTAATTTATTTGTGATTGACACAGGTTGCAGTAGAGGAGAAACAGTTCCATACCCTACTATAATGGGATCAGACACATTCAGGGTGTTTGTTAAATGCTGCCATCACCTAAGAGGTAACATTCACAAAAGCTACTCAAACTTGGTGTCGATCTGGCTTGGCAGCTTCTTGTCAATGAAGAGAGAGATAAGCTCTTCCGCCAGGCAACACCTAAATGAGTCTTTTGCTTTGAATCAGTTTGGAAGGGAATTCCTCACTTCCATTGTCTGGAGCATATTCTAGAAGAGTGAGCTTCTTAAAGCCAATGCTATGCTTTGTAAATCAAGTCCTGTGCTGAGAGGGTTAAGCTAAATATCCCTATGGAATAACTTTACCTGAATTAGTGGCAAAATGTAAAATGACATTTGCTGTCTCTACTGGTTGGGACAGCCCCCCTTTTCTCTGAAGCAGTGGCAATGGATAGGGTGCAGCATTAATCTCTTAGTGTATCTGTTCAGTGTAAATGTAAATGTTAAGACATTTTGTTTCTTTTTTTATTTATAAAATAAATATATATTGACTTGTTGTATAAATATACAATTTTGGCAAAAGTCACTCTAGCTTTCAGGTCTCAGTGAACAGAACTGGAAGAACTGTTCCGTTTATTTGATAGTTGCAACTGATACATCAATCAAAAAATAATCCTTATGAGTGATTTGTATGAATACTTGTTGCTGTTTTCCGAAGTATTCGTGATGTTGAGACCTAGGAGAAATGAACCCATGTATGCCACAGGAAATTGGGTTTCCTATTGGCAAGTTCACCCAATTAAAAAAATTTCTACTTATGAGAAATGTAGCATGCTGCTTTTTTTATTTCCCCATGGGAACATTTTCACATAGGAATCTGTCTGGTCTCCTGAGAAATCCCACAATAAGTCTTTGATAGTAGGAGATGAAATTTTTTGTATGCATCCCTTCATGGGTAGGGTTAGGAGGGCATGTAAATTACCGAAATCAAGGGACTCAGTGAGCATTTTTCTTGTAACATGTCTGTAAATACACAAAATAGTCTAAATGGGAAGCTGTGTAACTTCAGAGTGCTTTAAGCTCTCCTCAGAGATTGAACTTAGATCATTTTAAAATAGTCTTCAGAAGTGATATTAAAGAATTTGCAGAGCTTATTCACTGTGCATGCTGTCTTGGGTAGCAGCATTTATTCTGTCAACTCTGTTTAAATTGGTAGTATTTTTAGAAAAGAGTTCTCACTGAATCACTTTTTAAAAAAACCAACAGAATTTTTGTGCAGTTGTCAGCATGTAGATCTCTGTAGGTCACAGAAGAGGTTTATACCTCCACACCAAAGAACTAGCTTTTGATTTGCTCACATGTAAAAAGCAACTGGTCCAGTAAGGAGTCATCTGTTAAGCCAGAAAGATTAGGGGGTTTGCCTGCATATTAATTTTTAATATTCTATTTATTGTTATCAAACAACATGATACTTTATTATTTTTTTTATTATTTTTATGATTAAGAGAACAGTGCCACCACCCTCTTCCAGTGAGCTATTCTTGATCTGAATTGTAAACTACATTCAGAACTGGAGCAGGCTTGGTGTTCTTGAGTGATTTTCAAGTCAGGAGAACATGCCTTCTCCCTATGGGTCTCATTTTGGGAGGTTTTTTAAAGGTATACCAGAACACTGTAAAATATAGTCCCTTTGTTCTAGCAGCCAAAACATAAAAACATGGTCTTCCTCTTTGAATAGGGTTTCCTCATAATGGTCATTGTTCTTTAGGCAATTAATGCTGCTCTAGTTTTCACAAGGTTTTCTATCTTTCTTTCATGTATTGCTAGAAAAATCTGATTGTATAAGAACATAATTTATCTACCAGGTCAAGACAAAAGTCCTTTTATCCCACCATCCTGCTGATGATGGTAAAAAAAAATACTTATCAAGAAGTGTTAAAATAAACGAGCATACAGCGTAATTTCCTTTGATAAACCCTTCCACCCTCCAGCAGCCTGCGATTAAACATTTCTTGAGAGAAAAATTGCATCACTGTGTATTTAATAATCCTTGCTATACTTTTTCTCCCATTACTTTGTCTGATTGCTTTCTTGATCCGCAGTATGTTTCTTCCATAATACTGTATGACAGTGAGTTCCACCATTTAATTACATGTTGTGTAAAAAAACCAGTGTTACAGTTTCTAATGTAGAATTAAATTTCCATAGCAAGAAGTTGGTAACACACCAGATTCTGTCCTGATCGATCACACTTTAATTCAAGAATGTTACCTAAGGGGGATACAGTTGACTAAATCCTTGTTTGTCGTAAGTTTCAATTTTTTTTTTACCATATCAAATGAATAGACTTTGTTAATAAGTGTTAAAAACATTGCTTTCAGCTACATCTAACTTTTTTCTATTTGGAAGAATATTTAGCTGGGATGAACCTTAAATTTCATCTAAATTTCAGTATTTGCATGGAACATCCTCAGCTGCTGACCATGTCGTGAATATCAGGTCTTTTAGCTTTGCAGAGTTCAGGTCGCAGTTGGTTAGGATATTGTTTTCAGAGATTTAATTAAACCAAAAGACGTATTTCTTGCTGACATTTTTAGCTCAGGTTCATTCTAAAACTTTCAGGTAAAAAGTTTGGCCTTGGGCTTTGCGAGGATGTGTGCAGGCTAAGCTGGTTAATAGACATGGAGGGCTTAATGCTCATGTAAAGATACGGTAAAATAAAATTGATATAATTTGAAATGTTTATTTTCCAGAGCTCCTTTTGTAGGTTAAATGCACAGCAGTGACTTTTCTCTCTGTTATACAGAGGAGCCAATATACTGTTATACACCACACAACTTCACCCGCGATCAAGCCTTGTATGCCAGAGGATATTGTTGGACAGAATTAAAAGATGCCTTGCCAGGAGTTGATGCCAGCCACTGGCCCTCCTTGTTTGAGCATAAGTTCCTACCTTATGCACTGCTGGCTTTTGCTGGGATAATGTACATTCCAGCTCTGGGCTGGGAATTTCTCGCCTCCACCCGGCTGACTTCAGAGCTTAATTTTTTGCTTCAGGAGATTGATAACTGCTACCACCGTGCAGCTGAAGGGCGGGCACCAAAAATAGAGAAACAGATTCAGTCCAAAGGCCCAGGGATCACCGAGAGAGAAAAAAGGGAAATTATTGAGAATGCAGAGAAGGAAAAAAGCCCTGAACAGAACTTGTTTGAGAAATACCTGGAAAGAAGAGGACGAAGTAACTTTTTAGCTAAGCTTTATCTTGCAAGGCACCTATTCATCATCTTTTTAAGCATCATACCAATCACATACTTATCCACCTACTATGCTACGCAGAAGCAAAATGAATTTACATGTGCTCTAGGAGAGCCTCCAGACAAAACTAGCAGCTCCAAATTGCACATCAGAGTGAACTGTAAGCTGCCGTCTGTCCAGCTCCAGCGGATTATTGCTGGTGTAGATATTGTTCTCCTCTGCTTCATGAACTTGATAATCCTCATCAACTTAATTCACCTCTTCATATTTCGGAAGTCTAACTTCATATTTGATAAACTGAACAAAGTTGGAATAAAGACCAAGAAACAGTGGCAGAAGTCCCAGTTTTGTGATATCAATATTTTGGCCATGTTTTGTAATGAAAATAGGGACCACATAAAGTCATTGAACCGTCTGGATTTTATTACAAATGAAAGCGATCTGATGTATGACAATGTGGTGCGCCAGCTGCTTGCAGCATTGGCCCAGTCCAATCATGATGCTACTCCAACTATGCGTGATTCAGGGATCCAAACAATAGACCCAAGTGTTGATCCAGCAGACATTGATGCTAATGAACAGCTCATCATTAAGAGACCAAGGAAGAAGATGAAATGGATCCCGACTACCAATCCCCTTCCTCAGCCATTCAAGGAACAGTTAGCCATTATGAAGGTTGAAAACCATAAACCTGATAAACCGAAGCCTGTGAGGAGGAAAACAGCAACAGACAGCCTTATAGCTCCTTTGTTAGAGTCTGCTGCAAAAACCTCACAGCAATCGTCTGCTCATAAAACCGAGCCAAGTGCTATCCCAAGCACAAGCAGTGAAAAAAAGCACACACGGCACTTTTCCTTGGATGTTCATCCATATATACTTAGTAGCAAAAAACCCAAGCCAGAGGTTCAAGCCATCCCCTCGATGCCTACATCAAAAAGCCAAGAGGGTGGATTTTTAAACCAGGAAGAAAATGTTGTAGTTCACGTTACCTCCTCTCTCAAAGGTACAGTATGCCATAATGCCCATACCACCTCCACAGACCATAATGTGCATAGCAATCTTCAGGAACTCAAAGTTTATCTGAACGGTTTGACTTGCCTTGCTAGATTTTGGGATAGCTAATAATCTCAGGGCTTATAGGTCTCAGAAACAGAGGTTCTCTCTCTTAAAAAGCTATGTGGAGGGTAAGGATTATTACAGTAGAGCTGTACAAAACAGGATGCAGGCTGTTGATGTGGGTAGTTTTTTAAATGTAAGCATGACCACTACAAATGTGGTCATGCCTTGCCAAGGAAATGAGGAGCGTTTGGCCCCATGATACCCTTCATTCTCCACCAGCACCTGGCACATTTCAAACATGCCTTATTTTCAAGTCATATGGAAACTTCCATGGTAGATGAGCAGTCCTCTGATCAGTAATAGCCCCTTAGGAGCATGTGGGAGACTAGTAATGGCAGTTAAAGCTGCCTGTAGAACAAAAATCTCTAACTACCAACTCTTACAAGTTGGCATGTGTTTGTCACCTAGGAAGTCACAACTCAGCTCATTGACATTGTCCTTCACACAAGAGATGCTTTAAATTGTCCTGTGTCTCATGTGGACCAGAGGATTGATAGTCTGAAGTGTGGGTGCTGGTCAGGGATTCAGGATTTCTGCCATTCCCTTCCTGTGTGGCCTCACAGGAGATGCTCTTTCTGTGCCTCAGTTTCCTATGTGTTTCCTGGAAAGCCTGTCCCTGTCTTAACTCAAAAGGAGTGTTTCAAATATATCAATAATTGCTAGGTGCTAGAGTGATGAGGAAAGCCATTTGAACATTAAGAAAAGTGATAGATCAGTAGATAAACTGATAGACAGATATCTTCTTGTTTATTTTTGTAAGCTACTGACATAAGAAAGAAGCACTATGCAGTTGAAGTTACAGAAAAATCTGTATGTACTTAAAGCAATGGCTCTCATCTCATTACAAGCTAAGACCTCCCTCTGGGCTTCGACAGACTGACATCTACCGTCACCCCACTGCCCAGCAAAGAAGTGATTTGAGGTATAAAAGTTTCTGTCACTTCCGAATCCCTATGCTCCTTAGAGCCCTCCAACTCCCCAATATGCATGTGAGCTATTCTACAGCATTCCTTATCCAGTTACCTGCTGTGATTTCAACTCCTCAAAACTACTGGGGTTTTCTGGTCTCAATTACCTTTATCTAAATTAGTGCTTTAATATTTTAAGGGCAGAAAATAATTACAGGAGTTTTGGGGCTCTGTGACTCCCCATTTACATTAAAAAATTTCAGCTTTGTTTTTGAGTTAGACCTACATTGCAGTCCATCAGGTAAGGTAGACTTATAATTTCTGGAAAGAGACATCAGTTAATGTCAAATTGCTGAGTTCTTTCTAAAGACAAGTGGCTTACAATATGTAACCACTAGTTTTTCCCATTGAAACTACCAGTGCCTTTTGTATTCCATCCTGTGTTTTTCAATAGTCATAACGTTTGTCAAAACATTAAATCATAATATTTATAAAACACCGGCCATACTGTAGAGGGGAATAAAATATATTTTTCAGTTGTTTTTTTTCATCATTTTACAAAAATATCATTCACATAAGAAAGCATGAGCATGCGTAAAAAACAGCCAGATATACAAACCCCATTTGTTGTTTGTCCTGTTTCCCTGAGCGTACAACCCTGTTGTTTTGAAACAGTCCTGTTGGATTTCTCAAGGGTTCCCAAGAAAATTCAGCTCAGGGTCCACTTCTGATCCCACTGAAATCGGTGGCAAACCTGCCAATGACTTTTATTGGTTCAGGACACTCCTGACTGAGGGACTGGAAGGGTGACAGACTACCTGTCCTTTAACTGGCTGTTTTGTTTTCTTCTAGACACCCCTCATCCTGCAAAAGAGATCCTATACTCATCTGAGACATGCAGAACTGTGCCTGCTGCTGCAGCTTTTGTCACGTGTAACCACAACCATATAGCCACAACTGCTGCTGCCACCAGTATGGCTTTGAACCAGGTCAAACCAGAGCCAACACCTGCACTGAACTGCAACTCAGCCCACCCTTTGCTGCACATCAACACACTGTACGAGGACCATGAGGAGGAGGTTTCAAACATAATGGACAATGGGATTCACTCACCGACTGACACGGGGGAAATTCTCTCCATCCCTACCCCAAAGCAGATAAGGTTGGCAACGTTTGACGAGCCAATGGCAATCGTGAGCTCGGTGGAGTACTGAAGGCCCCAGGCTGCCCTGCTGGCCCCTGTGGCTGGGCCCGAGACCACTGCAGTGCAGAACATGGTCCCCCCAGCAATGCAACTCACTGCATGAGCATGGAGAGTTTTCACACAGACTGTAGCTTCTGCTGATAACACCAAACAGTTTTACAGGATCACATCATGAGCACTGTCAGTTATTTGCGAAATAGAATAAAGAAAATCTGGTGGAAATAGACCTTTAACACTAAGACAACCACTAGCTCTAGCTCTAAACTATAGCTTCCTGATTTAAATGGGAATTAGCACAATTTATGAACATTAGGAGTCTGATGGCTTGCCACAGCAATTTTAGTGAGTGTTTAAATCCTTTGCATTCAGAATTACTGATTAAAGTTAAAACAACTCGGAGGTGAGGTATACTTTTTTAATGGCAGCAGTTAAATAAGAGTTCTTTTCTAAGCAGAGAGGATTTTTTTTTTTAAATTCAGGATTTTGAAAAAATTATATGCAAGCAAAATTTGGTTTTGTTTGTTTCTTTAGCTCACTGATGTTGGGCTTGATGGAGACTTAGCTGAAAGGGCCTTACTACCACCAGCATTTCAGTGCAAAAAGATTGATACACTCAATCTCTTGCATTTATAAATGAAAATACCTGAAGTATGCCCCGCCCTTTAACATGCTTATATGTTTGATGGAAGATGATTAAGAGTTTATTTTTTTAACTATATTTTACCATGGAAAAAATTACTTTATTAACTTTTCAAACCAGGTGTTACTTTTAACAAAATGTGTAGAAGAGAGTCATTGTAACTGCTTATTTTTTCATAGTGTATTTATGAACCAGGTTAGAAACTTTCATGGGTGCTTCACTGATACGAAAAATCTTATGGAGGTCATTACAAAATATCTTACAAAATATGAAACCAGCAAACCTGTTGTCAAATAACACACAGTTAAAGTCTATGAATTTAGTTCTGCAGATTTGGCTAGTCCTTGATTCAGCAAACACTTAAGGCCATGGGTGACACTGAAATGACTCGTGTAAAGCTAAGCACACACTGAAATGGCTTTGCTGGATCCTGGCTCTAGTGCAGGCAGACAATAATCCTGCGGTATGTGCTATCACTCTGATTCAATATTTGCCATCCTTGGCTCAAAGCACATCTTCATGCCCATCTTCCTATAATTACGGTATGTGTGATTTAATAGAAAACTATAGTATAACTAAAACATCTATTAAAATTGTATCATGCAATAACCATTCTCAGCAAAATTATAGTGAAACAAAAAGTGACTGTGTTAAAATAATATTCCTAGCTGCATTCAGAATTACAGACTGTGTGTGTTTGCTTCAAAATTATGTATAATGGTAGAAAAAAATATGCAGCACAAATATGGGACTGAAATCTTGAGTTTATTTTTAATTTATTACCTCAGACATGCATATATTATACCAATATTTAATGAAAATAGCACTGAAAATAAATACCTATTATTCTGAATATTTTAATGTGTACTACTTCGTAGCATAGTGTTACAACACACCTCTAAAGCAAGGTAACCAATATTCTTGTCAGTAGATCCCTAGGGCTGGATTAGAGTGAAATGACACTGAATGACCTGTGTGTACTTATGAGGCAGGCTTATTTTAAAACAATTTGGTTGCAACGGAAAGGAGGTAGGTAGCCATTTTGGTTCTTTTCTATAAAATTATAAAATTGTGATGAAGAAAATACATAAGAAGAAAGAAAGAGAAGGAAAGGACAAGAATAGATAGTGAAAAGATGTCACCACCTATGGATCCAGCAACGAGACTTGATCAGTGCAGTTTCAATGTCTGTGTCAGAGTCATCATGGCAGTCGATCCATTGGGGTTAGGGCCCACACAACAGAGTTCAACGGCTTACATGCTTTCAGGCTCATGTGGGAATGCCCCAGTAATTCCCCAGGGGAGGGCTTTTCTTCAGCGATCTTTGGTGGTTTGTGGCCCCTTCTAATGACATGGCCACTGTTTGGCCCTTCTAACTGTTCCACTTGTGCCTCCTTCCTTAGGGAGGAATACCTTCAGGCTGGCATGTGAATGCCCCCTCCTGCCCATACCTCCCCTGGGAGGGAGTTTTACACTGTCAGCCTTATCAGGAGAGGGGAAATTGACATGATAAAGAGGATTATCCCTCTCCACAGGATCTCCTTCTTATCGACCTTTTCCCTTACTGGCAGGAAAACACTTTGTTTAAAACATCAATCCTGGTTTATCAGGGAAATGATAGCAGGACTCAAGCAGCCCATCCAAACAAAGTTCTGTCCATCACACTTAGTTACATACAATTGGGATTTTATGATAAGCAGTATGCAGGACATGTGATTCACATAATGTAAAGCCACCATTCCCCCTTACATCAGTTGTGCCCAGCCTTTTTGGCCTGAACAGCCCAATACCAAAACAGCAGCAAGGCACAGGATGCATACTGCAGACAGGGAAGGGGGGTTAGGCACAGCTGGAGGACCTGGCAATAACACCCCGAGGTCTTGGAGCAGTGTGGCATGGAGCTAATGGGGGACGTGGAGTTCGATCCAGGGCAGCTGGGAGATGATGACTGCAACGGCTCCTACTGGCTTGTCTCCTTTCAGCCATGGGAAAAGTCACCCGTGTGACTTTTTAAATAACAATCTGCACCTGCATAGTCAGGGTCTTATTCTACCCAAGGTACAGGAGGAAGCTTCCACAGCCAAGGAGTGGGGCATCACCTGGGACTGCAGGCAAGGTCTCTGCTGCCTGATGGGTTACTGCCAATCACTCAGAGTCACCTGAAAGCAATGGCACGGAGTCTGGAGGTGAGTAAAATGCCCCACTACATCCTATTCATTTAGATGAATACTGTAGTTAGAATTCATTTTTTAGACAAAACCGTTATAGTTCAGGACTTCAGTTAAACACCAATAAATATTTAGAAAAAATATGGAAAATTGCCATACGACAATCATGAAATTCTTAATAAAGGCAAAGTGAAAGAATAGGACCTGGAGGCCAGTTTTAAAGCTATATAACTCCCTTATACCACTGTACTTTCAATTGCCAAAGGCAGTGTGGTGAATTTCTTCCTGGTTGCAGCAGCTCAGCTGACAATGTTACAAATGTATGGGGGAATCCTTGAGGTTGCCTTTCCACTATCCACTTGGTACCATTAAGTACTACATCAACCATACAGGTCTGTAGCTGAAGTGATATACCAATATATGCACATACCAGTATCAGGAAAAGCAGACTGTCTCAAAACTAAGGATCTGAACTTGCAAATGTTCAGGTTGAAATGTACTTTGAAAATAGCTACATTCAATAATTGGAGGGAATTTCATTACTGAGAAACTACAGAGCCAGGTTCTCAGGCATGATGACCTGATGAGGCAGAAGAGTTGCCCACTAAGGTGTTCGTGTTCTGTATTCATTCAAGAGCAGGACTCAAGTCACTGTCATTGTCTGTGATACTACTGGTTACTGGTTTCTATTGATTTAGGGTCTGTTGCTGCCCTTGTAGAAATCAATATTGTGTTTGACTGGACTGACAAAGAAAGAAAGGAAACCATATGGTTTACCTCATCCCTGGGACAAGTGGAACTCACAGAACACCCACTTTACTCATCCTTAACCTGTTGTGTTACAGGAGCATTTGCACCATCATCTTTCATAAGCCTGCAGATGTCGGGCACTCAGCTCTGGATGTTAACACAAGTAACTACTTGATAAGGGCAGGATGGTGGCCCAGACACAGTGTTTCAACGACCAAACAAGTAGGGAGCAAATGCAGCTTCATCTTGGCTGATGTGGGGTAAATATCTGATGCAGGCACATAGCAAACCCTGCCTTGCTGAACTGAAAGGAAAATTTTTGTGTCTTACCCACCAAAAAGGACTTACCTAAACTGAATGACCAAAGACAAGGAAGTTGAGATAAGGCCTCATTTTTAAATGTCTCTTTAGCCTGAATTGCATTTACATCTCCATCTGCCTTGTCTCTTCCTAGCGGTTTCAGCTTGACAGATCTGATGACTCATATTCTTCAAGGCTGTTTTCCCATTTATTTCACAGGAAATAGGACTGCATGTTGAGAGCACAGAAACCCTTTTCTTCAGGGTACTCTTACTCAGACTACATTTGACAATCAAAAAGGAGAGACAAGTGTGTCAGAAACATCTTTTGAGCTATATTTAGGCTGTGCGAACCCAGCAGGAGATCAGCTGTTTCTGTCTCACAGCAGCTAGAGAAGTGCTTCTGTTGGGACTTTTTTAATGCAATAATGATTTTTAGTATTGATGTTACTAACATTTAGCTGTACGGAGTAAATGTACACATAAACACACATAGATTTATATATATTAACTATATACCTACAAATTGTATATATACATGTAAATATGCATCTTGCATACAAATGTTCATCTTCTGTACTTTGCTTTGTAAATAAGCTGTACTTAGTCATTTCTTTTCATTTCCCATTATCATGCAGTAGGCCCAACCCAGCAACATTATGTGTCTTTCTGACTCCACTGGGATTTTCTGATGCTCAGCATGCCTGTGAGGACGCTCTGGTCCTGCAGAGTTAGGTGTGCTGGGTTGATACTGTCAGTGAGTCAGGCCCTGATCTTGGGAGCTGAGCTGTTCTCTGCATTGTACTTCCTATGACTCCTTGGCACCAAAACCCAGGGCAAAATTTATCTCTGTGCTGGGGACCCAGTCAGTATAGCTGACAGTTATTTTGTGCATCCTTTGTATCTCCCGAGCTGGCTCCCAAAGCCAGTGTTGGACCCAAAGCAAGTGAAGCAGAGTTGAAGCTTCTCTTGCATGTCCCAGCCACCAGGTTATCTGCCAGTTAAAAGTACAGCAGGCTTAGAGCTCACAGGCTGTAATAGAGACTGCACTGAGGGAATTTCATCTCCAGCTTTAAGCAAGCTTGTCACTGCCCTCTCAGGCTTGCATCAAAGGGAGCACTAATGAAAAGCTAAGTCTGAGAGCATGAGCCCAGGCTCCTAAAGCCACTGATTGAATGAGAACTGGAGACAGCCTCAAAACGCACTTGACCTAGCACTGCATAGGGGAAAATTCTTGCCTTCATATCACAGTCATAGAAGAATATTAATAGGAATAGTGAAAATCCAGCTTTAAGCACAAGAAAGTGAAATAGTTTGTCCCAAAGCTACTCAATCTATGTCTAAACTATCTAATCTAAAGATAAGAACACGCCAATGTCCTATCTGCCATCATAACCAAGTCAGGATGGTTTTGGGTGCTGCAGGAAAGGTCTTTGAATTCTCGTCCTATTAGAAAACACTTCTTTTTTTAATTCTATCAATATTGTGGAATATTTATCAAGGAATGTTTCACTTTAAAGAAACAATGTGTTTTCTCATTAAAATCATTCTGCTAAAATACATGCCACAGAGCACATTGGGAGTTTTAAACAGAACAATAATTTTGAGACACCTTCCAATATTTTCTGGCTGTTAATGATGAATATTTCACTCTGTCTGTAAACAGACTGTAACTAATGGCAAAACATTCTATGTACTTTATTTACAAGTCACAAATCTTCTGGTTTTGCTAGTCTCTGAACAGTTTTCAAGTGTTTTTAACTGTTTTGCAACAGTGTACAAACAAAAATATTGTGAATGACTGCCACCCCAGTGAGGATCTCAGGGCTCCATGAGTCAGATTCAAGGAAACTTTGGCCTGACAATCCTGTTGTCCTCAGTGGTTTTTGATGCTTCTGAATTTTAATGCTTTACTGACTTGCTATTTGTTCACAGAATGGATTTGCCTGGAGTCAGAGCCAGCTTTAACTGAAAGAAGTTGTTGGGCCCCCTGCTGCACTCAAGAGCAAAGATGTTTACTGACTCTTGCTTACCTAATTTTTCTTTATAATCACAGGGCTCATAGCAGTCACTAGTCTAGCTTTCCACAAGCACATCCAGGGAGAGCACAGACTACAGTAAATCCCTGAAATAGGAATGCATGATTCACATGCAAAATCTGATGTCTTGCATGAAATGAGACAGAAAATCACCCCATAACCCACTGCACTGCAGATGGTTGCCTACAAAGAAAAATTACATGCTTAAAAGATAATACCAGTTTTTGCTCTTAGAGCTTTTATACCATGGCAATAACCCCATGGCAGTTTAGCAGTTACTGCTCTGGAATAACAAGCCTGTGCCCAGACCCTGGGGTGCACAGCAGAGAAGACAGATGGGTACATTTTGTTGCTGAGGAAAAGAGCTTCTGAGAGCAGTTCAGGAACTTCTTTTGCAAAGTGATGGATGTGTTCATCCATGCAAACTTGGAAAAAGGATTTACCACAATGGGGGCTAAGAAAACTATGTACTATTTGTCCTCTAAGTACAGTCCTGCAGACTTCACATTGGCAAATTTATCCTGTTATTGGAAGGGCCTGCACAATGTAAAGGAGTGACTAGATGTCTAGAATAAATTAATAGTTGGAAGAAGGGAA